TGCGCATGCACCAAGAATTGGAGTCATTGGCTCCTAGTGTGAATGCACTGGGAATCAGGTATCCCAGGTGCGTGTGATAAGAAACAGAGTCAAGTCACTAGTGCTTAGTGCTGCCTCCCACCTAGAGAATCGGGGTCCCGGTCAGCTTGGGGGACTTCAGTGAGCGTTTGCCCTGAATCAAAGTCTGTTGGCACTACAGCCCTGCATGGGCTTCGGGTTTGGTTGCCCGATTGCCTTGCGGGGAACAAATTCCCAGGGTCTGAGCACTCCTAGGCTCAAGTTCCTGCAGAGTTGCTGCGGGGAACAGATTCCCAGTGTCTGCAAGCTCTCAGGCTCAAATTCCTGCAGCGGTGCACACTGTGCGAGGGGCGGGTCTATCAGTTACTATGGCACTGCCCGCAAGCCCGCAGGGAGAAGGATGGGCTCTGTTACTCACAGAAATCTGCCCCGGGGATGTCTGGATTCTTGGTGTCTGTGGGTCTGTAGCTGTGGTCGCAGGTCTCTGTCCCCAGTGGCTGCAGGGTCCTAGTTTGCATCTGGGACCAGACTGGTTGGTGCTGAGGCCAGGATCCTAGTCTCAAGCAGCTCTGTTTCTCAAGATGGCGTGGTTTCTGTGCCCGTGCTGGCTGCCCAGGAGTGTCTGTGCTGAGAGCGGGGCTCCACTGTCTTAGACTGCCCGGTTTGGCAGCCCCTTGGAAGACCTGCAGAATCTAACTGTCCCTAGCTCATACACACACACACCACACACGTCCACACACTCCTCTATTGCTCCTTCGCTCTCTCACACTCTCCCTCCCTACCTTCCTACCGGTCACCATCTTCCTGATCCCCGAGAATAATTATTCTTATGACTCTGTTTAAAATATTGTTGATTTTTAAATCTTTTGTTTTCCAAATATAAGGAAAACAAAAAAGCAGACATTCTGCATTGTTGGAACTAACAAATTAATAACATTCATTCACAGGAGACAAAGATTCAAATACTATCTGGGACTGCTGGCCATCTTGGCCACCCCCATGTGGTCAAAAGATGGCTGCCACAAGATGGCCAGCAAGGGAGGGCAGTTTGGGGGGACCAGGCCTGCAGGGGAGGGCAGTTGGGGGTGACCAGGCCTGCAGGGGAGGGCAGTTAGGGATGACCAGGCCAGCAGGGGAGGGTAGTTGGGGGCGATCAGGCCAGCAGGGGAGCAGTTAGGCATCAGGCTTGCAGGGGAATGGTCAGGGTGTGATCAGGCTGGCAGGCAGAAGTGGTTAGGGGCAATCAGGCAGGCAGGCAGGTGAGCGGTTGGGAGCCAGCAGTCCTAGATTGTGAGAGGAATGTCTCACAGGGATCAGGCCTAAACCAGCAGTCTGACATCCCCTGAGGGGTTTCAGATTGGAGAGGGTGCAGGCTGGGCTGAGGGACATCTCCTCTCCCCCTCTCCCAGTGCATGAGTTTTGTGCGTGGACCTCTAGTCTATTATAAAGGACCTGCCTTGGACAAAACTTTCCATGAACACCTCCTTAATAATTCCTCTGATAGAATTATATATAGATCTAATCTAGATGAGTATTTTAGATGAATATTGTGTAAATATAGGAATAGATGAAATTAACTGTCCAGAAGAAAAATAGAATTTCTGGATAATAGTAGATACTTGTTTCCCCTCAGATCCTTCCTTGTCTAATATTAAACATTTTCTGTTCCTAATTAGTGTTACTGGTTTAATATTCTTACTGTTGTTCCTGATATGTAGATGTTATATTAGATGCAAAAACACCCCCATAAAACTTAAGACAAACAGCAAAAAAGACTCGGATCATGGTGGCTCAAAAATTAGGAATGATCCAGAATACTTTTTAACACGGACATATAGGATCTGACTGCCTCCCATTTACCTGCATTGTATTTTGAATAATAATTAGACTTAGAATGCCATCTAAGGTTATGGTCTTGCCCCATCCCCAGTGGTCCACCCTGTTCAGTAAGACAAATGCTGACATTGAGACATCCTAGGAATAAGCCTTCCTAGTACTGTGGGACTCCAGACTCCATTATTCAATCAAAAGGTTGGTCATCAATGCATCCTTTGGATTAATTTATGACCAAAAGGGGGATGTGTGGACAAAAGGGGCCACATGCTAACCTGACAAGCTCAGGGAAGGCCTGCATGGCAGTCTTTCAAACTCAAAGACCTTATGTAACCACAAATGATGGTCTGAAATTAAACTTTAACTAAAAGGAGTTATGGTGGGCAGTCATCTCCTAGGCTGGTATTTTCTCTGACAAGTTCAATTTTTACCTTAACTGATCTTATTGTCTTTTTTGCATTTATAATAACATATCATTGAAATATCAGGGTAACTTTTAACTTCCCTTTTTTCTGGACCTCTCAGGGCAAAACCAAATGCCCCTGGGCACCAGGACAGAGACCATAAATTCCTTCATTGTTATTGTTATCATGTTATTGTTGACTGTTAACTATCCTGTACCCAACTAAGTAAAAGAAGTATGTGTTTATCATTTTACTTTTAAAAAAATATATATTTTATTGATTTTTTACAGAGAGGAAGAGAGAGGGTTAGAGAGTTAGAAACATCTATGAGAGAGAAACATCTATCGGCTGACTTTTGCACACCTCCTACTGGGGATGTGCCCGCAACCAAAGTACATGCCCTTGGCCGGAATTGAACCTGGGACCTTTCAGTCCGCAGGCTGACGCTCTATCCACTGAGCCAAACCGGTTAGGGCATAATTTTACTTTTTATCCAATCCCAGAGGTTTCCCCGCTTTGCTTTCTCCCACCTCCCTAATCTACTACCAATGGATTTCATGTAACCCACTTATGTCTTCTCCTTTGATTATAATGTATAAAAATAGGTGAAAAACTGCCATTCTCTGGAGCATTATTCCAATCCATTGATATTCTGCTTCTTGGCAATTGTCGACAGTTTGACTCAAATAAACTCACAAAAATATTTACAGGTTTGAATGTTTTTACGTTAACAGTTCATATGCTAGGAGAGTCACTAATGCTTAATATTTAATTTTGAGTTTACTATGCACTATCAACAATTCCTTGTTTTAACTAGGGTCAGAAGCTACTGAGTATCTCAGAACCTATTATTGTTTACATCTTGTTCTCTATGAGAAATTATTCTTTGTGTATGTTCTGATAGTATCACAATAATTAAAAATAAGGGTCTGGGTATAAAAATACAGCATAGGGAATATAGTCAATAATCTCTCTATATAAAAGCCTAAGTGACCGTTATGACCGAACAACCGAAATGACCAGAATGATTGGTCGACTGGTCACTATGACACGCACTGACCACCAGGGGGCAGACGCTCAATGCAGGAGCTACCCCCTGGTTGTCAGTGTGCCCCCACAGCGGGAGTGCTGCTCAGCCAGAAGCTTTACAAACACAGCGGGGCGGGGGCAGGTGCAATGGGGTTGGGATGAGTGGCAGCGGAGTTGTGCCTGGCCTAGTTGGGGCTCCTCCCCAGCCGCCTGCGCTTCAGCACTGCTACATCCCTTGGGGGTTGGCCTGCGGGGATAGGGTCGAAACTGGCAGTCCAACATGTCCCCGAGGGGTACCTGATTGTGAGAGGGCGCAGGCCAGGCTGAGGGACCCCACCCATGCATGAATCTATGCACCGGGCCTCTAGTATTATAATAACTAAGTATGGTGCCATGTGTACTGGAAGTGTCTGAGAGATCACTTTTTAAAGATTGTCTAACCACTATGCTATAGTTTTTTTAAAAAATATATTTTATTGATTTTTTACAGAGAGGAAGGGAGAGAGATAGAGTTAGAAACATCAGTGAGAGAGAAACATCGATCAGCTGCCTCCTGCATACCTCCTACTGGGGATGTGCCCACAACCAAGGTACATACACTTGACTGGAATCGAACCTGGGACCCCTCAGTCTGCAGGCTGATGCTCTATCCACTGAGCCAAACCGGCTAGGGCCACTATGCTATAGTTTGAAACTCATATAAAATAATATTGAATGTAAACTGTAATTGAAAAATAAAGTTTAAAAAAGAAAATAAGGGTCTGTTTTATTGAGTAATGAAGCATTTTGTCTGATACTTTTTTCCACTAAAAAGAGTTTTTATGATTAATGTATGTTAAATCACACATTAAGTATATAGATATTAAGAAAATGATGCAGAGAGAAACAGATTCTCTTTGTTTGTAAAGCATAGACACATTCTGTATTTTATAAGCTCTCTAATTCATATACAGTAGTCTCATTAGAACAACTCATTGTAGAGTGAAATTTGGTATAAAAATAACTTGGCCCAAAAGTTTAAAACAGACTTCTTGTAGTGATGCTTCACTGATTACTATATTTAGTGACAGAGACCCCCTACCACCCCCCAGGATTGCATGGTAGTCAGGCCCTGAGCATCTTAACTACTAAAATAACAAGTCAATTGAGAATACTTGTCTTAACAGTCTACATAAATTGAACCCAGTGCTAAAAAGTATCAAGTCCATGAACTATTTGAAGCTGCTTAACCCAGATATTCCTATACAAGCTATAAGATAACCAAAGAAGTAGCTAATCATCTGTCAAAAGGCAAAGCAAAAGAAAACTGGATAATTAAGAAATTATTAATATTTATTTGATGAGCGAACTCTTGAGCTATATATTTATCAAAGTCCTTTGGGGGATTGTTGAGTGGTAGGTGATATTTGTAAATTACCCAATGGAAGGAGACTATACACTACTCTAGCAATTTATCAAGCTTTTTCATCTCATGGCACATATAAACTAATACTAAAATTATGCAGCCCACCAAAAAAATTTATTTTTTGCCATTCTGACAAAAAATAAGTATAATTTAGATTTATTCCTACTGGATGGTTATTGTTGTGTTGGCTGTTATTTTTTTATTTGATAATCTAAAGGAAAAGAGGTTAGTGCCCATGACTAAATAGTCAGACATTTAATGTTTTTAAAATTCTTGCAGCCCACCAGTGTGCTTGCCCCAACACACTGGTTGAAAATCTATTCTTTAAAAAGACTTTGAATGTGAAGAGACTGCCCAAAAGAAGAGAGGCAAGTATTAGATACTTTTTACCTCTCTCCCAGTACCACTGTAGCTTCTTTTTCTTTCAAGCAAGAGATGTTTGGTGTGTTCACAGACACCAGACAAATGCGCCTCTATGACCTGGAGAAAGATTGGTCTTCTAATTATCTTCATTCCACCAGGATGTCCACTGTGGCCAGGTTATGGCTGCAAGTGAAAGGGGATTTCAGGCAACACTGAAAGGTTAGTTTTCAGGTATGGCTCTTTCCCCACTGACCTTACTTTTGCTTGCAATACATTTACTAGCTTTTCAAAGATTGGTGATAAAACTGCTGACATTTTTCATTTCAAACCAAGATTTTTGCTATTTGCTGAAAGCACATTTTTCAGAAAGGCAATGGGAGGCTTGCCAAGTAAGTTCATTCAATCAAGTTCTTTGGTTTTTAACACACTAAACAGTGTTATAAATTATATTTTTAGGTACAGAGAGGACCACAATGCATCAGTTATTCAACTAGAGATGCCAAAGAATGATACTTTCCTTTTGGATATAAGAAGAATATGATGGATGATGCTGGACACCACCAAGAACTCTGGAGTGACAGTTGCAGAGATTTCCAGGGTTTAGAGCAGATGCTGATTAGAAAGTAATATAATGTCCTATGGCCAATTGAAATTCTGGACATGGTCATGTGATTATGCTACTCTGAGGTTTAAACTAATGTACTATTATCATCTGTTAAAATGTTTTTTTTATTCTATAAAGTATGTATAATAAGCACTTTGGTTAAACATATGATGTTAAGAAACACCACTTTCTTCTTTCAGATAACGATGTTTCTCATTATCACTTGTGGGTTCAATACTGAAAACACCTAGGCTCAGTTCTTAGGGAAGATTGTCTTGTAAATGTGAATCTAACTCTATGGCACTTCTTTGCTGTCAAAATGTCACCAACCCTCTCATTTTCTACAAATATTGAGCACCAATTAGGTATATGATCATGCAAGAACTCTACTATTTCTCACTTTCTACCAAAACAGAGCAGTCTCTCTTCAACAATTCCCTTTAGACTTAACATATTCTTCAGTTTAGTTAAAAATTAAATAAGGAAATTAAACAAGGAGGGTCTGATGAGGATGAGAAACAATTCAAATTCAAATTAGTGATTTACTTTCCCTTTATTTTTCCTTCTATTCCCTCCCAAGTAGTATAAAAGGTGATCTGTGGGTTGAGTTACCCTTGGTCATAATTCTATGCTGTCTTCACTTACTAGAAAACTTGTCATAATAAACAATGTGCATTATTTTCTCAGACTACCAATTACAATATTTCTAGTAATAAAATGTTATACAACCAATGTGATACTTGCACCTTCAAAGTTCATACAATAGATGCCTCTGAAATGGCTCAGAGAGTCTATCAGCACCTTTGAATAAATTCATCTCCATTGTGTAGCTAAAATGCCTAAAATGAGAAGTACATTCTTTGCTGTCCACTTATAGCTCTGGGTATATGTGAATACATTGTTGCTGCTTTCTGGGCAAGAGGAAAAAATGTGGTCTGTGGTCTGAATTTTTCCTTTGATGTATAACAGAGTAGACAGAATTCAAATCAAAGTTTATTAGCACAGTCAGGTCCTCTAAGCAGCTTCGTCACAGAAGTTCCCAATTCTCTGCCATGTATAGAAGCATTTGGATTTCTGTTCTTTTAAGTCTGAGGCACTTGAGGAAAATGTTGAATTGCACCCATGGCCATCAAACCTCTGAGCTATCGCTGTGGTAGCTATGTGGGGACATCATGGGCTCGCTGCTGCCTGAGCCCTTTGGAGCATCCTTCCTCCTGGCACTCCTCTTGCTCTTGCATATCACTGCTGCAATGGCAATGAGGCCAAGAGTGAGTAATCCCACTGCGATGCCTCCCATGACCATGACCAGGCTGACCTCAGAGATGGGACTGTTGCGCTCCCAGGGGAGGATGCTGTCAGGAGGAACTCTTCCTTTGGGGTCCTGCTTCTTGTTGGTTCGGTCCAGGGAAATGTGCTGGATGTTTGTTCCCCGGCTGTTTTTAGCCCCAATTGCCCATACCAGTGGGGGTGTGCTCCTGATCTTCCTCTTCTTCCTGCTCTTGGTAGTTGGCTGGGGCTTTCCTGGACTCACTATAGAGTGGTACTGGTACTCCACACTTCTTTTGCCAATGCCCCTGTTGGAGTTGTCTTTTGATCTTACTGTGTAGATCGTGTGTATGTACCATTCTCGGCCCAGAGCGACCTAAAAAACACAACACTGTTTGTTAGAAAATTGTAACTATGCCAACTTAATTCATGACTATTTGCAAGAGAAATTATGGCTGTAATAATAAATGCTAATTTAATTTAGTGTGCAAAATTAATATACTTACTATTGCTGCATGTGTAGTATGTGCAAGGTTTTCTGTAACACTCTAAATTATTTTTTCAACAATTAAGGGAGCATGTGCCGGTAAATATTTGGTAATCTATAACTTGTAGTCATAGGATGTCAGAACTGTAAAGAACCTTAGATATCAGTCTAACTTACTAAGAATACATAGCAGTTAAGTAACTTGCCCAATGTTACTCAACTAGTAAGTGGAAGAGGCAGGACTAGAACTCAGATCTTTTGGACCTCTTTTCTAGTATGTTCTGCTGCATATTTACATATAAGACTATAGAAAAGTTTTCTGCTTTTCCAGAACTTGATAAGAAGGGTTTTCTGATGGTCCTTTGAAGCCTTTAGGATTTAGAAGAGGTCAAATGCTTCCAGAGTTAACAGTAATAACAGAAACAAAAATATATACTTCTACTTCAGAATAACAAAATGTGTTTCCTTAAGATTCTCTCTTTAGTTTGGATAAGGATAACACATTTCTCTGACCCATTCTGTCTGAACAATTTTTAGTAAATATCCTAAAAGTCCCAAGGATTCAAAATGTGAACACATCTCTGAATTTGTCTTACTTATCTGCTCAGTGTAGTTATGGTCACCTGTGTCTGTTTTTACTGTCTATCTCTAGGTTATAATTCTTTATCTTGGTTTATAAAGTTTTTGAGAGTAGAGATTTATGTGCTGTGCACATTGTTTGTCTGAGTCCAGCAGTTCACACAAAAATGGCCATGAAAAGTCAACAGAAAGAAAATTTTGCATAAGGAAAGCAGAGTTCCCACCCATCAGACTTAGATTTATTCTGGGCTGAATAAGGATCTTTATTAAAAATTGACTTAAAAAATAATAATACATTAATAAAAATAATAATTGCTAGTGTTAATTAAATGCTCACCCATGTGTGCAGTATGGTTGATTGTGGTTTACATGCCTTACTCAATGTTCACACAAACCAAATGACATATTATTATTACTGTATTTACAAATGAGACATCTGAGGCATTTAAATATTAAGTAACTTGCATGTGGTTACATAGCTATTGTAAGAGAACTTGGTATTGGCCCACCTGAAAGAGTGGTGTTGAGTCCACTTTGAATCCATCGGATCCAGGCTGATTCACTAAAAGAGTAGCTTCAGGGTCATCTGCTGCCAGTTTGGCATTAAACAGAATATTTCCAAAACTGGTGGCTTGTGTCTCTGGCTGAGCTTTGTCCTTTAAGAAATAAGAAAAATAAGGATTGCTGTAGAAAATGACAAATCATGCAAGCTTAGAATGTTTTCCTATTAATTTTGTACAAGTACAAATTACCATTTAATGTCACAATTTAGTTTCATTTGAAAAGATGTTATTATATTAAAACATAAGACAAAAATGCTTAACTTTGAATATGTACCTAGTTCATTGTTTGGGTCAAAGCACTTACTCTAATGAAAAAAATGTAGTTTTGGCAGAGACTGCACCATCTTGAAGGGGAGAGCGGCTGTGATTGGAAGCCCAGCCTTACATTCAACCAGGGAGACCTCATATACCTCCCAGGACCCTACAATAGAATGCCCAGGGACCAGCTGCCTCAGCTGCGAACCGATGAACACCGGGACCCCAGCCTCCCCGACCACAGGTACTTAAAAAGTCTGTCCAGTGGGAGACAAAGCGGCGCTGAATATGTGGATGGGCCCTGCACCTTCTCAGAGAGCAGATAAAAGGAACAGCTGAATCAAACAACACCCACCCAGAATTGGTGAATTAGACACAGCTGGTGAGGCAATCCATGGACAGAAAGGTCAGATATCACCTAGAGCAGTGGTTCTCAACCTTCCTAATGCCGCGACCCTTTAATACAGTTCCTCATGTTGTGGTGACCCCCAGCCATAAAATTATTTTTGTTGCTACTTCATAACTGTAATTTTGCTACTGTTATGAATCGTAATGTAAATATCTGATATGCAGGATGTATTTTCATTGTTACAAATTGAACATAATTAAAGCATAGTGATTAATCACAAAAACAATATGTAATTATATTTGTGTTTTCCGATGGTCTTAGGCAACCCCTGTGAAAGGGTTGTTCAACCCCCAAAGGGGTCGGGACCCACAGGTTGAGAACCGCTGGCCTAGAGAAAGGTGAGATCTGGGATCCAGGCTGGAGGGAGAAATGTACATGTACGTAGTGGGGACTAGAATCTCAGAAGAAGACTGTGCCCCACAAAATCTGCAGCCGTTGGGGTCAGTGTAGCCCTTGAATGTGGAAGGGGGTCCACAGGGCTGCTGGCAGAAGGGGATTCTAGATATTAGCCCACAGTTGGGCTGGGCCCAGAAAGGCAGCCTGAAGTTCTATACTGGCTGCACAGCGCCAGGGGGAAAAGAGTTTGCGCGCTTCCTTTGGCTTTTTTCCTTTTTAACTCCTTGCTTTGCTTGCTAAGTCCAATACATAGGATCTTCCAATTAAAAATACTCACTGAGACTGCAGGAGAAAGTTGTTTTTGTGGAAACTGGGGATCAGAGTGGGGAGAGACAAACAGGAAACCAGCTCTGGGGCAGTCTGTCCCTCCAACCCAGTATTAAGTGCGGCAGGGAAAGAAAAATCTAAACACTAAGTAGAGGGGCCTTTTAGCCCCGGATATCAATACAGAAACACTGCCACCGAGGGGTTGTATCAGAAACTGACTCTTGTGTAAATACAACTGAAGGCAGGCTGAGAAACAAAGGGAGCAGAGAGATCCCGCCTGCTTAACACTCCGGTGTGGGGTGAATTTCCCGCCAAAATATAAGATGGCTCTGTCTTTTGGTTTTGTTCCATCCACCAAAAGGGTGGATTACAAACAAATATTTGGTAATACGCAGTTACAATCGGCCCGAGTTTACACGTTTCCCGCACTCCACCGCAAATCTATATGAACCGAGTTAAAGACGGCTCCCGCGGAGTACGCGCAATTCACGCGAGCCGACTTAACTCGTTTCCCGCACTCCAAGTGTTAAAAACAGGGTTGTGGCTTATGACATAGAGGAGCCACGGTTCTGGCACAAGAACAGCTCTATAGACCAATGGAACAGAACAGAGAACCCAAAATCAACCCAAGCCATTATGCTTAATTAATATTTGACAAAGGAGGCAAGACAAGACAGTCTCTTCAATAAATGGTGCTGGGAAATTTGGTCAGATACACGCAAAAAAAAAAAAAATGAAACTAGATCACAACTTACACCATATACAAAAACAAACTCCAAATGGCTAAAGGACTTAAATGTAAGATGGGAAACCATAAAAATCCTACAAGACTCCATAGGCAGCAAAATAGCAGACATATGTCGTAGCAATATCTTTATAGACACAGCTCCTAAGGCAATGGAGATTAAGGAGAAAATAAACAAATGGGACTACATCAAAATAAAAACTTCTTCCCAGCAAAATAAACCATCAACAAAACAACAAGAAAACCCATTGCATGAGAGAACATATTTGCCAATGATATTTCTGATAAGGGTTTAATCTCCACAATTTTCAGAGCACTCATACAACTTAACCAAAGGAAGATAAACGATCCAATCAAAAAAATGGGCAAAGGATCTAAATAGACACTTTGAAAGAGGACATACAGAAGGTCCAGAGACATATGAAAACATGCTCAAAGTCAGTAATCATCTGAGAGATGCAAATCAAAATGACAATGAGGTACCACCTGTTAGAATGGCTATCATCAACAAATCAACAAACAACCAGTGCTGGCGAGGATGTGGAGAAAAAGAAACCCTCCTGCACTGCTGGTGGGAATGCAGACTGGTGCAGCCACTATGGAAGACAGTATGGAGTTTCTTCAAAAAGTCAAAAATGGAACTCCCATTTGACCCAGTGATCCCACTTCTAGGAGTATATACCAAGAAACCAGAAACACCAATAAGAAAGGATATATGCACCCCTATGTTCATAGCAGCACAATTTACAATAGGTAAGATTTCGAAATAGCCCAAGTGCCCATCAGCAGATGAGTGGATTAAAAAACTGGTACATCTACACAATGAAATACTATGCCGCTATAAAAAAGAAGAAACTTTACCATTTGCAACAGCATGGATGGAACTGGAGAGCATTATGCTAAGCAAAAGAAGCCAGTAGGAGAAAGATAAATGTCACATGATCTCACTCATATGTGGGATATAATGATCAACATAATTTGAAGAACAAGAATGGATTTAGAGACAAATGGTAGGGGGTGGTTAGAGGGCAACCAAAGGACTTGTATGCATGCATATTAGCATAAGCAATGGACACAGGCACTGGTGTGGTGGGGGCTTGCCGGGTGAGAATGTCTGGGGGGATGTGTCAATTGGGGGAAAAGGAGACATATGTAAAACTTTAGACAATAAAAATAAATAAATAAATAAACAAACAAACAAATAAATAAATAAAGTCATTTTAATTATAGTTGATATTCAACATTATATTAGTTTCAAGTGTACAGCAGAATGGTTAGATCTATATATATAAAAGCCTAAGTGACAGAACAACCAGTTGACCGGTTGCTATGACGCGCACTGACCACCAGGGAACAGATGCTCAATGTAGGAGCTTCCACCTGGTAGTCAGTGTGCTCCCACAGCCAACCTCCTGTGGCCCTTTCCCCTGGCCAGCCAACCTCCTGTGGCCTTCCCCGCCCCGGGCAGGCTAACCTCCCATGGCCCCTCTTCCCGGCCAAGCTCCCATGGCCCTGATTGGCCCCGATCGCTAGCCAAACCGAGGGACCCACCTGTGGATGAATTTGTGCACTGGGCCTTTAGTATTTATATAACTTACAAAGTGATTTCCCCCATAAGTGTAGTACCCACCTGACAATAATACTGTAATATTATTGACTATGTTCCCTATGCTGTATATTATATCCCTCTGACTATTTTGTAACTGCCAATTGGCACATCTTGATCCCCTCACTTTTTCACCCAGCCCCTCAACTGCCCTTCCATCTGGCAACTATCAGTTTGTATTCTGTGTGTATGAGTTTTTCTATTTCTCCACATCCTCACCAACACTTGTTAGTTGATTTATTGATGATAGCCATTCTGACAAGTGTGAGGCAGTGTCTCATTGTGGTTTTAATTTTAATTTCTCTGATAATTAGTGACTTTGATCATATTTTCATATATCTAATGGCCATTTGTAAGTCCTCTTTGCAGAAGTATCTATTCAGATCCTCTGGCCATTTAAAATATTTTTATTTAAGTAACGTTGGTATACAATATTATATTCATTATGTTAGTTTCAGGTGTACAATATAGTGATTCAACTTTTCTATACCTTAAAATATGATCACCCCACTAATTCTGGCCTGTAAAGTTTCTTTTGAAAATTCAGCTGACGGCCTTATGGGAGCTACTTTTCTCTTGCTGCTTTTAAGATTCTTTTAGTCTTTAATCTTTGCATTTTAATTATGGTGTGCCCTATGTGGGTTATTTTGCTTGGGACTCTCTGCTCTTTCTGAACTTGTATGCCTATTTAATTTGCTAGGTTAAAGCTTTCCATTATTATTTCTTCAGATTTATTTCAATCCCTTGCTCTTCTGGTACTTCTCTGATGCAAACGTTAGTACACTTTATGTTGTCCCAGAGGCTCCTAAAACTATCCTCGTTTTTTTCTTTTTCTGTTCCAATTGAGTGTTTTCCACTATCTTTTTTCTCATATTGCTAATTTGATCTTCTGCTTCTTCTAATCTGCTATTGATTCTATCTACATTTCAGTTATATTCTTTATTTCTGACTGGTTCTTTTTTATGATTTCCATCTTATATAAGTTTTCACTGAGTTCATTATTCTTTCCTAAGTTCATTGAGCATCCTTATAATTAGTGTTTTGAATTTTGTATTTAGTAGTTTGCTAGTCTCCATTTTTTTTCTGAATTTTTGCCCTATTCTTTCATTTGGGAAATGTTTCTTTGTCTCTTTTCAGCTGCTTTCCCTGTGTTTGTTTCTATGTATTAGGTAAATGTGCTATGTCTCCCATTCTTGGCAGAGTGTCCTTATGCAGTAGGTGTCCTGTGGCACAGTCAGCCTGGTCACCTGAGCTGGGTGCTTCAGGGTCTCTCTTTTGTGAGTTGTGTATGCTCTCCTATTGTAATTGAGTTTTGATTGCTATTGGCACATCAGTGGGTCAGATAGACCCTCAGGCTGACTGGCTGTAGGACTAGCCATGAATACAGTGGATGAATTGTTGTGCAGGGGTTTACCCCACAGAATGAGATTCGCATTAGCAGGGCTCTGGTGACTGTCTAGTACACCCTTTCTGTATGTCATTTGTGGAGTTAATTGGGTTGTGCTCTGGTACGACATGAAGTTAGCTACTGTGTTGGTTCTGGGAACTCTTGGGAGGGGCTCTGGTACAGGCCAACATCAGCCATTTTCTGTGGCCAGTGCAGGCCACCTGGTAGGAGTTACAAAATGATCTGTAATTTGTTGCTGCCAGTCCTATGTGTGGGGGCACCTGGGAGCGGCTATGTTGTGAACTGAGGCTGGCTGCCACTAGTACTGTGCTTGGGGCTATTTAATAAGTGGTATAAGACATGCCCAGGCTAGCCTCTGCTTTTAGGAGTTTGTAAGACATGCCCAGGCTAGCCTCTGCTTTTAGGAGTTTGTGGATCTTTGACAGATTTTAGGAACATTTGAAAAAGGTTCAATTCAGGTGTGTCAGTTGGGTAGGGTCTCAAGGAATCACCAGGGTGGGGCAAGAAGTGTTAGCAGGTTACTAGAGACTCAGATTTGGTTCCACCCTGAACCTGATGGCTGTGTGGATTAAGGGCTTAACAAAGGTACAATGATGCCTGCCAGCATTTCAGTCTTGAACAGATTTGCTTCTCTACCCCTTGCCGTGAAGCTACACAATTCCCGTATGTCCCTGAGTCCCTGGTGATTTTTGATCTACTGTTTCTTCACTGGAGTGTAGCATGAGTGTCAGCAAGTGAGTCTGTGCTCAGGACCTTTAAGAGGATACCTTAAGAGGGTCGGTCTACAGCAATCCTCTGTCTCACCTGGAAGGAAACCCTGCTGATTTTCATAGCCATATGTCATGGGGACTTCGACTGTCAAAACTGGGGGGTCTGGGCTGGTGACCCCAGTGTGGGGATAGCATCCCTTGCTCCTCTGGGGGAACCTGTACAACCAAGGTATCCTTCCCTATTCTTAACAGCCACTCATGGGTGTGGGATCAGCCCATTTTGCTTTTCCATCCTTCCTATGAGTCTCAATGTGGCTTCTTCTTAGTTATAGTAGTTTTTTAAGCTAGTCTTCAGGTGGTTCTCAAGGGTGGTTGTTCTATAATTTAGTTTTAATTTTGATGTGGTTATGGGAGGAGGTAAGTACAGCATTCATTTACTTTATCTTGACTGAAGTCCACACTTACCACAATTTTAAATCTATATAAGAGTGAAGTAGAATCAGCTAAGCAGCCATATTCTGCATTCTTTGGACTGTACTTGGGAACATAGCCATCAGCTCCAGTGCACAGAAACACCTTCTCAATACTGCAGTAAAAGGAATCACCTAGATTCTGGACAGGATCTACCATAACACGACCATAAATAATATCACCTGAAACAGAGATGCAAAAATGTTATTTCTATTATGTAACACTGCAAACAATTTGTGACACTAATGACACCAGAGAGAATTTCCTTCTCTTCTTAGTATGGCATCAAATGCAGAAGACCTTTTAGTATTAGCTTCAGGATCTATTTTACTCCTATGCCTTATATATGACCACTTTGCAGAATGACCACAAGTGACTGAATATGTATTGGCCTTCACATATTTAGCCAGTAGTGGAATAATCTCAAGTCTTGGCCTATAACTTGACCTCTTAGTTTACATAAATAAGTTAGTTGGTACAATGCAGATTAGTACTTTATAGAATAGCACTAAAAACATCAATAAAAAGCTGAATTAACTTTATCTGATTGTGAAAGAGGGTTTAAGGAAATTCCCTGGTATTCAAGTATCTATTTCACAGTCATTACTGAACTCTTATCACATGTTCTAGATATTTGGCAAGAAAATCACAATGCTGGCCCATGAGGCATTTACAACTTCATGTAGCTGCAATATTTGAGTTTGTAAAACTTGAAAATACATTCAAGAAAAAAAAATCCACTTAGGTAAGGAAAAAACAGATTAATTCCCAAAAATTAAAATCATTCAGTAACATAAACCCAATTCCAGTGACACCCCCCTCTCCCAGCCCTACCACAGTGATAAAGACTCAATTATATTCTCAAAACCATAGAAGAGGTTACAATTTTTCTCCTAAACACAATTCTAATAAAGCAAAGCACAACAGATATAATGTATAACATACAGAGCAGGCCCCTCATTTGTAAAGTGATACCTTCTGCAAAAGCAACATCACTCTCATGCCCAAATCCCATGGATCCATCAGACAACCAGAGACTCTTCTTGGAGAGTAGGTACATTTGGGTGTTCAAGCTAAACTCAGCCGCCACTGGATCACTGACCTAAAACGAAGTGTAAAAGCCCTATTATATGTTGTTGATTATTCTGATGGTACACAAACATATTATTCACAGATACACACATTTACTGTACACTGATATGTAAAATACTAAACATAGTATTGTAATTTTCAGGTCCAACCAAATAAATTTAGGGAATTGTAATATTGGTTTTGTCCTTTTTGAGAAGGCTAAACTATCGAGGTTAATTCATTTTTTGAATGAGACTAAATAGCTTTGCTTGAGCCCATTTCCATAGGTTTATTGGGGTATATAAGGGACTTGTAAACATCATGGTCAGTGGCAGGCAAACATTTAGTATTGATTCTTAGACAAAAAGTGCCTTCACATTTCTTCTAATATATGGCAATTAGGTACTTTGAGGTGGCATGAACTACAGAATATTTATTCTTAAAGGTTAAGAACAAGATAAAGAAATGCAGAAGAACAAGGGAAAATTCTCAAATCTCTAAGGCAGCAAACTCCAGGAAGAGATAATTAAAAATTAACCCTTGCATACTCTTAGATTATGGATTTTATATATTGAACTAACAACTGATAAAAGGCAATTCTCTTCCTACTTCCTATATGTCTGACTTCCTTTTTTCCCCCTAGGATACAGGAATTAAAATCACTGTGTGAATTTTTTTAACTGATAAAAGTAAACCAAACAAATAACATAGTGGGATTCTACAAGTCACAGGAAAATAATCCTATGAGACATACCTGCTGGAATCGGATGTCAAGATCAAAGGTGACAGGTTCTCTGGGGTTGCAGGTGACAGGCAGGTGATACTTCTGATGCAATAGGGTGGTGCATGGCAGCAGTTTTATAGTATAGGTTCCTGAGTAGTCACGTACCTTTGAGGAAAAGAGAAGGTACTTAAAAATCTGAGGTGCAATCAGAGGTAACAGAAAAGGAAAATGAAGTAAGAGCCTTAGTCACTTACTGCAAAATCAGAGACAAAGCTCCATTGCTGGACTGGCTGGTTATAGGTTGGTTCACTCCTTATTAGGTGCAGGGAAAAAGTCAGTTCTGGATGATCAGCTGACATAATCATTGATCTTGTGAAGGATCCTAGAAAAGTGCCAATAACAATAATGCCATGGTGGTTTAAAGGGTACATAACAGTTTAGAGTTTTCAAGTATTTTAGAATACATTATTTGCTTTTATTCTTATAACGAGCCTACAAAATAGCAGGGTTCATATTCTCATTTTGCAGATAGAGAAACTGTGTAACTCTCCCAAGATCACACAGCTAGGTTTTGTACCTTCTGATTCTTAATTCAGTGCTTTTTCCCACTGTATAATTCTGTCAAAAGATACTTGTGCAGAAATGCTCAAATAGTTCAAGGCTAGTTTCAAGAGAGGCAAAACAGTACAACAAAGCCTCATGTGAGTGCATTTATTGTGCACCAAAACTATTAGCTGAACTTCCCAGTCTATTAGCATCCACATAGCTGGGCAAACCCAACTTACATATGGAATCAAATTGTAATTAGATTGGCTGCAATCATGTCTAAACAAAGATTCAATTTATTAGAAAGGTAGACATGTGGATGGGGATTGTAAAGGCTAGGAAATCCTTATTTTCCAGAACTGTCAATTACAATAAGATAAATGATTTTTTTTTTTTTGTTCTGTACTTCTTGTAGTTCAATATCATAAAAATAATATGCCGAAACCGGTTTGGCTCAGTGGATAGAGCGTCGGCCTGCGGACTGAAAGGTCCCAGGTTCGATTCCAGTCAAGGGCATGTACCTGGGTTGCGGGCACATCCCCAGTGGGAGATGTGCAGGAGGCAGCTGGTCGATGTTTCTCTCTCATCGATGTTTCTAACTCTCTATCTCTCTCCCTTCCTCTCTGTAAAAAATCAATAAAATATATTAAAAAAAAATAAATGAACACTTTTTTTATTCCTTAATTTTCAGCCCTATTTTCTCCTTTGTTTAGAGCTCCCACCTAGAAAAAGAAGGACATAGAAGAAAGTGAGTGAATTATTTTCCACTACCAATCTGGCATCACTTGGCATACCATGAAAATATGCAAATCATTTTAGTAATATGGAGAGTCAAATGAAAATTTTTTTTAACTTTGAGCCCAGCTCACAGCATCTCTAACAGGACCTTGGATGGAGGCTCAGCCCTAATAAAGATGGTCTCTTAAACAAAGGAGTAAAAAAATACAAAACATCCACAGAAATCGAACTGTGACGTCCTGGTTCATAGGTCGACCCTCGACCCCTGAGCCACGTCGGCCGGGCATTTAAGTATTTTTTAAAAGAGCGAAATTCTCCAGTGTTGCAGAAAATGGTATCCCAACGTGATTTCAGTCCAGCAAAAACAGCATTTGACACTATGCTGCCTTTTCTCCCAGTTCAAGATACACATGGGAGAAAACCATTTCCCTTCTTAAAAAAACACAAAACCAAACCAAACCCCTTTCTCCTTCCTGTTCAACTTCCACTGCTTATTCCTAGAAACACCCAGAGAACAATATAAACTAGGCCCGGCCTACTTCTCCTGGCCTCTGCCAGTCCGAAGGCTCACAGCAGGAATTGTTCCTTAGGAATTTTCTCCTCTGCTACAATCAGGAAACTGACCCCTAATTTCTGGGAACTGGCAAAAATAAAAAAACTCCCATTTCCTTCCAGGAGGGGCCTGAGGGCTCTGTAAAGGATCAAAGGGCAGTGCACCTGGCCCATGTGCGAAGGGGGCCTTTCTATATAAAAACACTCAACACCTTATAACCTAATGTTTAACCTACAGGTAAAAGCGAGCAGCAGCTAACTGAGATACTAAAAAGGTGCTTATCTCCCCATCTTCAACCATAAAGGAAACAGAGCGGAGGAGAGTCTAGAGAATTTGACCTCTCCTTTCCCAAAACTTCGACGTGTCTTCTAAGCCAAAGCCAAGTTCCTGAGACAGACCCGTGGTCACCGGGTACAGTTTCTGCTGGATAACGCTGCCGCTCCTGGGCAGCCTGGCACATGGCCCCTTTACGGAAAGGTTCTCCCTGGTGTGCATAGTGCTTAAGGATCACTAGGGAAGTTATTTTCTCAATTCGACTTCGTCACTGACAAATACTTCAACAGCAGCTTCTAGAAACTGCCCGGAGGACCCCCTCCCTCATCCCCCGTCCCCTCCCCCAGTTCAGGGTCACAGATCGTTCCAGTTGATGGGCTCCTTGCCAGACTTTTGCAGCAGCTCGTTGGTTTCAGAGAAATGTTTGCACCCAAAGAACCCTCTGTACACCGACAATGAGGAGGGATGGGCGGTCTGCAGCACGTGGTGGCGCTTCCTATCGATGGCACTGCCCTTCTTCTGAGCATAAGAGCCCCAGAGCAAGAAGATGAGGCCACTCGAGTTCTGATTTAGCCAGGACACAACCGCATCGGTGAATTGCTCCCAACCTCTCTCCTTATGAGAATTGGCCTGATGCGCCCGGACTGGTCCGGTCCGTGAGGACAGCGTTGAGTAGGAGAACACCTTGCTTGGCCCACCCAGATAAATCTCCATGGCCAGGATGAACAAAACCATCTATGTCTGTAGACAGCTCTTTATAAATGTTTTCCAAACTGGGCGGAGGCGGGACAGGTCTTTGCACACTAAAGCAGAGCCCATGAGCTTGATTGGGTCCATGATATGGATCCTGTCCCAGGATGACAACCTTCACATCTCTTATGTTGCACATTTGGGACCACGTGAAGACTTGGTGTGGGGGTGGGTAAACAGTGTAACGTCTTCTTTCTTCTGCAACAAATCCCATTAGCTTAATAAAATACGGCTTCCCGAACTCTCCGCTCAGGTGCTTCTTCCAGCTCTCCCCGAAGCCCACCGGCACGTTGCGAGCCGCGAGTCTCAGCAGGGCCGCGGCCTTGTTCTTCTGGATGCGGACCAACTGCTCGGGGCTCAGCGGGCCGAGGGCGGTGTGCCCGGCTCCTCCTGCTCCGCCCGGGCCTTCTTGGCGGGGTGACCGCTGCATCCCCGCTCTCCTCAGCTACGGCCGCCACGCCGTCCCCGGGCCGGCTCGGGGCTGCGGGCACGTCGCTTCCTGGCTGGGCTCGGGGAGAAGAAGGAGTAGAGCGTCTTCTGGCCGATCATCCCGAAGCCGCCCGGGGCCCTGCGAGGCTGGCGCCAAGCCGCGCGCGCATCATGAAAATTTTTTTAATGAAATGTCCTTTATATTAAAAAAAAGCTTTGACATGGGACTTTAGTGACTGCTACCTTATTGATATTCAAATCACAGTCCATCAGTTAGTAAAATTACATAGCCAATAATTAAAGGTAACATGTCTGAAACTTAAGTACAACAGTGAAGTGATACTTCTGGCTCAATTATAAAGGTTTCTTACATACCTATAAAACAGTTATGAAAAGAGAAGTCCTTTCTGAACAAATAAATTATAATTCATTTATTTTTGTACAGTGGAATTGAAGTAGAAAAGGAGATTGTTGTTGCTATGCTCTTTAAGGAAAATTTTATTTAAATAAACTCAATAGAGTTTTCTTTTACATTTACTTTAATCATTTTGTATTTTCTCTAAAAGTCTACATAGATAATGATGATTTTGTAGATAATGAGATGTAGCCAAAAAATTATCAAGCCTTCATGTAGATAATTGCATCCATGCAATTAATTTGAAATTAAGGACTTCAAAGCCCACAAGGAAGCATGGAAATATGTGTGAATATGGAAAAGTCTACCCTTGTGGTATTGGGAGTGGCTATTAATGAGTAATGGGGCTTACCAGGATGTGACAGCACAAACAAGCCATGGAATTTAGCTTCTGTCTTGAAGTTCACAACCAAGCACCCCTCTTCACCAATGCGCATGCTAGCTGGATACAGAGAACCTACAATGGGGTAGCATACAAGAGTAGCAATATTGATGATCAGGCATGCTAATGTACAGGATTTCTTCCAAAAATGAGTTCAGATTCACTTCATCTTTTTAAAAAAATATGTTTTTATTGATTTCAGAGAGAGGAAGAGAGAGGGAGAGAGAGAGAGAAACACTGATGAGGGAGAGACATCAATCTGCTGCCTCCTGCATACCCCATATTGAGGATCAAGCCCACACTTGGGCATGTGCCCCAACCAGGAATTGAACCGAAGACCTCCTGGTGCATGGAATGACACTCAACCAACTGAATCACACTGGCCAGATAGATTTACCTCATCTTTAAGCATTCTAGCCAAAGGGTTAACACCCTTTGAGTGATAGGAGAGGCAGAAGAGAAAACATGGAATTAAAATATGTCAAATAATCTAGAATAATTGTTCAGGATGAACATATTACCTCACACATGGCTTTCAGGTAATTTTAATTTATTTAAGACAGAAGATTTTGAGATGTATTATCAACAGTATTTTCCCTTTGGCTCATAAAAAGTAATTCAGGCATGAGGCTCAGACATACATGGAACTAGAACAGTGGTATGTGCTTAAAGAGAAATAGCACTAATTCTACTAATAGATTAATTAGCTTTATGCTTATGGATTTTGAATTATGATTCTGACATGGAGATTGAGACAAAATTTTGTAGATGCTTATGGGCCCAATAATTATTGGCACTTACCACATTATTCCAAACATTCTGCTAAAGTATCAAAGAATAATAGAATTTATAATAATAAAAGCATAATATGCAAATCAACCAAACAACCGTCTGGATGTCCTTCCGGATGACCTTCCAGACGAAACTGGGGCTGCAGCCTCAGGATTGAGGCAGCCGCCACGGCAGCTAGGGAGGGATCGAGGCAGCTGCCGCAGCTGTGAAGGCCTACTCTTGCACAAATTTCGTGCATCGGGCCTCTAGTTTACAAATAAAAAGAATATTGGAAGTCTAGTCTACCTTTCAGAAGAAACTGAGTGCCATACAGGTTAAGCAATATGTTCAAGATCACACCATTGATTAGCTGTAGAGCCAAAATTAGAACCCAGGACTTTAAAATGCAACTCCCATTTTCAGAAACAAAAATGTGTAACTTTCTTCTCTTGAGTTAATTCTTTATTTTCAATTGATACTACCTCTTTTTTGATACATTCATTTTTCTGGAATCTAGGGACATATACAGATTGTGTTGTGTAACATATAAATAATTAATCACCTAAAATGGACTATGAGAGTTAAATGTCCATGAAATATAGATATTACATTTAACAGTCACATATTACACAAAACTTGAGGCACTGATAAGATTTATTTAAAATAAAGTATTTTCATGATAAAAATAAAATTATCAGAAAATGTTGACTATAAAAATAAATTCACTAAAAGTTGGCTTTTATGACTTTTAGCTGCTATAAAAAGTCCTCTAAAGTAATTCAAATCGGTACATTTTCCCACCTTTGAGTTCAGCTTCTGGTGGGCTGCCAATTCCATCATTCCACAAGATGGCAGTGTCATACACGAAAGTTAGACGAAGTTCTGACTTCAAGTCAAAATGCTGCCAACCTCCTACTCCAACAGGGGAATGGTACACGTAGGAAACATACAGAGGGACTCGAAGAGTCACATACGACTGCACTAGGTTTAAGACCTAAAACGATGAAATTATATTTATCAACACAATTCAGCATTGTTAACTAAATAAGCTTAATTTTGTACAAGCCATTTTCTCCTTTCACTAACTGAAGATTTTGAATAATTATTGAGGAAAAGAAATAACAGCATTTACAACACTTAATTTTAAAGCAATTAAATAGTTGTTACTATACTACCTTCCTTAAAGGATATGTAGCAGAAATCCTTAAGATAAATAGCATTATCTTTAGCATACTACACTTACACAGTCCTTTTAGTTTTATAGCAGCTTTAAGATACAGTTCATATACCATATAATTCACCAACTTAACGTGAACAAATCAATGGTATTTAATATATTCATGGAGTTATGCAACTTTCCCCATTAATCAATTTTGGAATATTTTCATCACCTTCAATAGGAATTCCATACCCATTTAGCAATCAATCCCTTAATTTCTCCTTTCCTCCGCAGTCCCTGGTAACCCCTAGCTTACTTTTAGTCTGTATGTATTTGCCTATTCTGGACATTTTACATAAATGGAATCATACAATATGTGGTCTTTTGTGATAGCTTCTTTCACTTAGCATACTGTTTTTAATGTGAATCCATGTTGTAGCATGTTTCAATACTTTTATTACTGAATAGCATACTACTGTATGAATATATCATATTTTATTAATCCATTCATCAGTTAATGGGCATTTGGACATTTTCTAGTTTTGGACTATTATGAATAATACTGTTATAAGATACTTTTTAATTATTATATAGATAAAGAGGAAATAAAGCAGGAAAGATCTGGAAGCAAATATAATTAGTTGAAGTGAAGTATCTTGCTTAAAATTTATACTTTCCCCTTTAGGTATTTTGCAGGTGGATTGGGGGTCAGGGAGAATAAACCAGTATTTGTTTACTGAGCACAACATTTTAGACATTGTGTTACGCTCACAATAAAAGTTATTCAATATTTTAACTCTTTCCTATAATTATATTTATATGTATTTGTGAATGGGTGGATAGATGATGAATAGAAAAAGAGAGAGAGGAAAATTAAGACAGAGAAATAAAGCCAATTTCCCACAAAATTTTTTAAGCCTATGAATGACGTTGCCAATATTAAAACCCAGCATTTGGCCCATGCATTTTCTGCTCTATCATACTTCATTGCATTCCAAACAAAGCTGATGGCAGTCTTAAGATCACCTAACATATTCGCAGATGACATGTTATTGTACATTGAAAACCCTAAAGAATCCATGAAAAAACTACTAGATTTAATAAATGAATTCAGTAATGTAGCAGGATACAAAATTAACACCTGGAAATCTATGGCTTTTTTATACACCAACTAGTGGCCTGGCGCACGAATTTGGGCACATTGAAAGTGAATTAATTAGAAGAAATATTTTAATATTGCTATTTTCCCTGCCCCCCAATTGCCGTCCCCTCCTTCTGCCCGCTGGCACCTGCCTTGGCTGTCCTGGCGCCACCTGCTTGCTAGCCCCGCCCCCCACCGACTGGTCCTTCTACTGTTTGAACAATTTGCATATTACCCCTTTATTATCCTATATAATAAAGAGGCAATATGCAAATTGACCATCACTCCAACACACAAGATGGCTGCCCCCATGTGAACACAAGATAGCCAGCAGGGGAGGGCAGTTGGGGGATACCCAGGCCTGCAGGGGAGGACAATTGGGGGGGGATGCAGGCCTGCAGGGGAGGGCAGTTTGGGGGGACCCAGGCCTGCAAGGGAGGGAAGTTGGAGGGACCAGGCTGGCAAGGGAGGGCAGTTAGGGGTGACCAGGCCTGCAGGGGAGGGCAGATAGGGGGTCCAGGCAGGCAGGGGAGCAGTTAGGCATTGATCAGGCTGGCAGAGGAGTGGTTATGGGGTGATCAGGCTGGCAGGCAGCAGTGATTAGGGGCAATCAGGCAGGCAGGCAGGCGAGTGGTTGGGAGCCAGCAGTCCTGGATTGTGAGAGGGATGTTCGACAGGCAGTCAGACATCCCTCGAGGGGTCCCAGATTGGAGAGGGTGCAGGCTGGGTTGAGGGACACACACACTCCCCCTCCCCCCTCCCCGTGCACAAATTTCGTGCATTGGGCCTCTAGTATAGGATAATGAACTCACAGAAAGAGAAACAACAAAAACACTCCCATTTACCATTGCAACAAAAAAATTAAGATACCTATGAAAAAACATTTGTTATTAGTTGATTTATTGATGATAGTCATTTTTACAGGTGTGAGGTGATATTTCATTTGGTTTTAATTTGCATTTCCCTGATGATTAATAAGGTTGAGCACTTTTTCATATGTCTATTGACCATACATATCCTATTTGAAAAATTTTCTATTCAAATCCTCTGCCCATTTTTTTTTTGTTAAATATATTTTATTGATTTTTTACAGAGAGGAAGGGAGAGAGATAGAGAGTTAGAAACATCGATGAGAGAGAAACATTGATCAGCTGCCTCCTGCACACCTCCTACTGGGGATGTGCCCGCAACCCAGGTACATGCCCTTGACCGGAATCGAACCTGGGACCCTTCAGTCCGCAGGCCGACGCTCTATCCACTGAGCCAAACCGGTTTCGGCGACTCTGCCCATTTTTAAACCATATTATTTGTTTTTTGATGTTAAGTTGTATAAATTCTTTATAAAATTTGGATATTAACCCCTTATCAGATATATCATTGGCGAATATATTCTTCCAATCAGTAGGTTATCTTTTAGTTTTGTTGTATAAATAGTTTTTACTTTGTTCTAGTCTCATTTTTCTATTTTTTTCTTTTGTTTCCCTTGCCCGAGGAGAAATATCTTTAAAAATATTTCTAAGAGTGATGTCAAAGAATTTATGGCCCATGTTTTCTTCTAGAAGGTTTATGGTTTTAGGTCTTACATTTAAGTCTTTAATGCATTTTGAGTTTATTCTATATGGTGTAAGGATGTGTCTAGTTTCTTCCTTCCTTCCTTTCTTCCTTTCTCTCTTTCTTTCTGTCTTTCTTTCTTTCTTTCTTTCTTTCTTTCTTTCTTTCTTTCTCTCTCTTCCTCTCTCTCTCTCTCTCTCTTTCTTTCTTTCTTTCTTTCTTTCTCTCTTTCTTTCTCTTTCTTTTTTGCATATATCTGTCCAGGTTTCCCAACACTTTATTTAAAAGACCCTCTTTACACCATTGAATATTCTTGCCTCCTTTGTCATAGATTAATTGACCATATAAGCGTGGGTTTATTTCTAGGTTCTTTATTCTGGTCCACTGATGTATGTTTTAGTTTTATTACAGTACCATGCTGTTTTGATTTCTCTAGACTTGTAGTATGGTTGGATATCAGGTAGCATAGTATATTTCTTCTTCTCTTTTTTAAATATTTATTATTGAGAGTATTATAGATGCCACCCCCCCTTTCCCTCCATTGCCCCCCTCCACCCTAGGCCTTCACCACCCTATTTGTCTGTGTCCTTAGGTAATGCATATAAAATTGTTGATTAATTTCCCCCCCTTCCCTCTGAGATTTGTCAATCTGTTCCATGTTTCCATGCCTCAGATACTATTTTATTCATCAGTTTATTTTGTTCATTAGATTTCTTGTTTATTTTGATTTTTAGATTAAATTGCTGATAGATATGTATTTATTGCTATTTTGTTGTTCATATTTTTATCTTTCTTTTCTTCTCCTTCCTCTTCTTTAAGAATACCCTCCAACATTTCATGTAATACTGGTTTGGTGGTGATGAACTCCTTTAGCTTTTTCTTGCCTGTGAAGCTCTTTATCTGACCTTCAATTCTAAATGATAGCTTTACTGGGTAGTATAATCTTGGTTGTAGGTACTTGCTATTCATCACTTTGAATAATTCTTGCCACTCTTTTCTGGCCTGCAAACTTTTTTTTGAGAAATCAGCTGACAGTGAAACCTACCAACATTTGCATTATGGGGGTGCCAGAAGGAGAGGAGAGAGAGCAAGATATTGAAAACCTATTTAAAGAAATAATGACAGGAGATATAGAACAGGGCCGGAAAGATGGCAACCTGCAGGAAGGTAGGGAGGGAGAGTGTGTGAGAGAGTGAGGGAGCTATACAGGAGTGTGCGGACGTGTGTGGGTGGGTGTGTGTGTGAGTGAAATAGGGACAGTTAGATCCTGCAGGTCTTTCAAGGGGCTGCCAATCCGGGCAGTCTTAGATGGCAAAACCCCGCTGCGGCTGCAAACACTCCAGGGAGGACATCAGCAGTGCAGAGACTACGCCATCTTGAAGAACAGAACTGCTTGAGACTAGGATCCTAGCCTTGCCACCACCCAGTCTGGTCTCCATAGCAAACCGGAACCCTACAGCCGCTCTGGTAGAAGACCTGTAACCACAGCTGCAGACCCAGGGACACCAAGACTCCAGGCACCCCGGCCGCAGATTTCTGTGAGTCGCAAAGCCAATCCCCCTCCCCCGCCACCCCTGCGGCATAGGAACTGCCAAACCTGGGCTGCACAATAGGGCTTTCTGCACACACTCAGCAGCAGCAGCTCTGCCTGAATTTGAGCCTTGGTGTGGGACACGGGAAGTTTGTTTCCCGTGACCAGGCTCCGTTGGCGGGGAGACTGCTGAATTTGAGCCTAGGTGCACATCCTTGGGGAGACTGTTTTCTGTGACCAGATCCCACACCCATGCAGGGCAGGGAGACAGCACTGAATTTGAGTCTGGACGTGCTGGCCCTCACCCGTGCATCAGGCCTCTATCTATACCAATAAAAGGGTAATATGCTAATTAGACCGAACATCCTTCTGGACAAAGCCATGGTGGTGGGGCCGAGGCAGAGGTGGTTAGGGGTAATCAGGCCAGCAGAGGAGGACAGTTAGGGGGATCAGGCCGGCAGGGGAGAGCAGTTAGGTGTAGGGCACGGCTATAGGGTTAAGCCTCGGACTGACCTGTTGGCAAAGTCACAAACAAGTCCCAGCTTAGAGGGCACAGTCCTCTTAGCATAATTAGGCTTGACCTTATGAAGCTCCCTAGATCTTATCTGGGAA